CAGATTCTCCAGCGTCTGCAGTTCCTACTATCCAAGAAAAAACTGAGGTTAATTGAGCATTGAAAAATATTGAAGAGCAATCTTGTATTGTCGAAATGAAATTATTTATTTAAGTAACTCATGGAATTGACATACCAAGTCAAATGTGGACTTCCACACTTAACTTCAAACACAATATCAAATAGATCCTACACTTCTCATTTCTGAGATAAGTGCTATGGAAAGGAGCTAAAGAGATCTCTTATCGATCAAATAAGAGTGCAAGACCCCTGTCTATCTTGTGTTCTGAAGAAAAGCCATAATGGACTCAAAACATTAACTCTCTTTCTCTAATCACAAGTGCTGCTGCATCTGTTGAGTTTCTGTAGCAGTTTTTTTTTAATGGAACAAAAACAAAGTTGCTGGAAAAGCTCAGCAGGTCTGGCAGCATCTGTGAAGGAAAAGACAGAGTTAATGTTTCGGGTCCGGTGACCCTTCCTCAGACCTGGACCCGAAACGTTTTCTCCTTCACAGATGCTGCCAGACCGGCTGAGCTTTTCCAGCAACTTTGTTTTTGTTCCTGATCTACAGCATCCGCAGTTCTTTCGGGTTTTTATGCAGTTTTTTTTTATTCCAGCATCTCTAGAATTTTGCTTTTACACCCTCTATGAATGAAGGGGTATTACTCTGAGGAGGCAGGTGTCCATGAGCTACCACAGCCAGTGTGGAGACTGAAACAAAAAGATAAATTGCTGGAGAGAGTCAGCAGATCTGGTAACGTATGTAGAGAGAAAGGCAGAGTCAACATTTGGGTCCAGTGACCTTGTTTCAGAATTGAGATTTTACCAGCTTCGCTCCTGTCAGGATATATATATTTTTTAAATGGTTTATCAAAATGTCTCAAATTGGCTTCTCTAGAAATGCTTAATTCTGGCCAAGTGTCTGCTTCTGCATCTGAACTTTTAATGTTTCACTCACTTAAAGTAAATGGGTGGAATATTTGACCTTTTGACCGTGAACATGAACACTCTGCTCTCTCTTCCTTCTCCACCTTTTAACATCCTAGACAATATAAAAGCTTGAAGATTAGAATTTGTGTAGTGGAAGGAAAGAGTTTTTCTATGATTACAGTTGAAGTTGTCTAAGTAAAATAAGGGTTTCAATTTTTTTCAAATAGGCATCCTTGTTTTAGACAAAGGTCATTTGATATTCCAAGAACCACGTTGTAAATGGGGGTGGCATAGTGGCTCGGGTTAGCACTGCTGCCTCACAGATCCAGGGGCCTGGGTTCGATTCCACCCTTGGGCGACTGTCTATGTGGAGTTTGCATGTTCTCCCCGTGTCTGCTTGGGTTTCCTCTGGGTGCTCAGGTTTCCTCTCACAGTCCAAAGATGCGCAGGTTGGGTGGATTGGTCATGCTAAAATTGCCCATAGTGCCCAGGGGTGTGTGGATTGGGTGGGTTATAGGGGGTTGGGTATGGGTGGGATGCTGTTGGTGTGGACTTGTTGGGCCGAAGGGCCTGTTTCCACACTGTAAGGATACTATGAAAAACCCTTAATTAATGCATGTATAATTGTGGGTGAAGTGAAGCAGAGTGGCAAGGGTTGTGTTAATGCCTTTGAATCACATTGTCATGTCTATCCTTGGTGCATTACACATCCTGTTTTCATACCTCACTTCTGATACTGGTGTTAACAGTATTTGTTTTAAAGTGTTTGAAATCATACATGTAATATTGTAACAGTTAATGTATTTGTACAAAATTTCTTCACTGAATTTTTTTAAACAAATTTACTACTAATATTGCTCTCAACATTTCAATGAAACAATACAATGTGTAAAAGCTCTATTCACATTCCCTTATGAGTTGACACCGTGGGTTGAAAGAGTTTTGTGGCTTTGAAATTTAAGCATGCTTTAGTAGAATTACGGAATCATAGAAAATTGCAAAATAGAATCAGGTCATTTCACTCATGGTGTCAATGCCGGTGCTTTTGTCCACAGTGACCACCTGGTTGGCAGTGTCTTATTTATTCTTTGTGCCCATTTATTATTTTTCTCTTTCAGGTAGTTTGCAATAGAATAATATATTTTATCTGTGTAAATGCAGATCGTTAAAAATGCATTAAGTTGGTTCCAATGTTTCACCCATGAGAAAGCATGTGTATGTAATGAAAAGCAAAAACTAACTTCTAAACTTAAACTAGGAGCAGCAGAAGCCCACTTGGCCCTTTTGAGCTTGCTCCTCCATTCAGTATAACCATGACTCATCCTCTATCTCAATGCCATATTCCTGCTTTCTCCCCATACCCCTTGATGCCTTTAAAACCTAAAAATGTGTCTACATCGTTCTTGAATGTATCCTGTGACTTGGCCTCCTCAGTCTTCTGTAGTGGAGAATTCCTCAGGTTCTCTACCCTTTTGAGTGAAGCAATTTTTCTTCATCTCAGTCACAAATGGACTACCCGAATCCTGAGATAGTAGAAATTGCAGATGCTGGAGAATCCGAGACAACAAGGTGCAGAGCTGGATGAACACAGCAGGCTAAGCAGCATCATAGGAGCAGAAAGGCTGACGTTTCGGGCCTAGACCCTTCATCAGAAATGCCATGCTGCTTAGCCTGCTGTGTTCATCCAGCTCTGCACCTTGTCTTGGTTTACCCGAATCCTGAGACTGGTTGTACACTCAAACCAGGAGTCATTCTCAAATCTTCTTGTTCCAACATTGGAAGGTTTTTGTTCTTTGATGCATTTCATAAGATTGCACCAGCTCACTGCCTTCCCTCCTGTGTTTTTAAATTTGTTCTCCAATGTGGGCTGAACTACTTACAAATAAAAATTAAAAGAACTGCAGGTGCTGTAAATCAGAACTACTTACAATGGGCCAAAAACTGTACACAGTACTTTAGATGCCTTCTCACCATTGCTCTCCCAGTTTTAGTACTACTTGTATACTCCATCTCCTTGCAATACAGGCTAACATTCTATTTTCATTCTTTGGATTTCTTTACTGGGATGCTAAATTTTTATGATTCATGTATGAAGATACCTGTCATCTGCCATTATCTTGTCCCTGCACTGCTGAAGCCTTGATGTTTGTTATTGCCATTAAATGTTGTATTTTTCCCGATTTACTCCTTGCCCTTCTCTTTGCCTTTCCTCATGAAATCAGCTGTTTCCTGTTTCATTTGCCCATCTTCTCACTGCTCTACCTTGGCCCTACTGCTTTAGGTTTAAATGCTCATTCTCTACAGCTACCTGCATTTTTGCTTCCTTACCTGCACTGTTTGGTGTTCCAACTTTGTGATCCTGTGCATTCTCCCACCTCTCATTTTGGCCTGCCATTAATAACAAAATCTTTGGTTGCCTTATTTCCCCAATTAAACTCCTTCGCCTCTCTTTCACTTTGCAGTCCTCGTTCTAATTGCCTTTTTGTTGCAGATTTCATTTCAATCTCCTGTTTCCCTTTTCCTGCTTTGATACAGCAGTTCATGATTCTGCCATTTGTATCTCAATGAGATGCATCTTTTGATTCTTTATTTATTAAATTAACATTGCCTTGGCCTTGCATCACCTTTCATCATTTAATCGCTCATGTCTTCCAACCTATCATAGACATTTCCTTTTGGTCTTTTTAATACCCTGGCCTCCACGAATGGCTTAAAATTATTACATTTTCAAGTGAAATTTCTACTTCACTTTTCTCCCAATTGTTATGGATCAGACCAAACCCCCTTCAAAAAATTCAGGAGATAGGATCTAGGCTAACTTCTATTTTGTTTAAAGGCGAGTGTAAGGTGCAGTATTTCTGATGTAATTCGATTGGTCATGCTACTTGGCTTTAAGCAAAACACATTTGATCCCTAAACCCAGCTAAAATACATTCGAAAGAAAGAATAATTGGTACAACTTTAACTCTATTGGAATAATTAACAGAATAATAGATTATTTAATTCCTAAACAGCAATTGTTCCTATGTAGTAACATCCCATGAACACCTTTGGCAAAGGCAAATTCAGTAAAATAGATTGTCTTGAATGCAATGTTTCTCTGGTCCAAGTGAAAGGAACACCTAGAGAAAAATCAGGCAGTGAGACAGAACTCCAGGTTTTTGCTTTGGCTAAGAGAT